TGGTAACTGGAATTTAAGTCATCTAAACAACAAATATCAATGAATTAGCACTCAAATCTCATTTATCTATCTATCTATGTATCACACATCAATGTTGATGAACACCATCTATACATTTATACACTATACTAAATATTAGAGATTATTTAAAGGGACAGTTCACTAAAAATGTTAGGCAGAGAGGCAGCATCAGCCAGCATTGATTTACATTGCATCTTTTTTTTTTGCAAGGGCTGGGTTGACAATATCAAATAATTGATTTTAATCAATCTTTATTTTAATGAACCGATATGGATTCTTAAGTTCCAACATCAATCATTTAGTCTATGCTGTTTTCATTTGATGCAGGATCAAAACAAAGCTTTGTGCTTTACTTGTATGAAAGTCTCAGCTTTCAAATTCTGTCCACTATCACAAAACTCAAGTTATAAATGTCATATTTGATTCTCTTTAATGTGGCAACACGGAGGACATCTCTTCCTCTTTAATACTAGTTACAGCATGAAATAAACACAAATGACCATTAGAAGGTGTGTTGAAAGAAACAGTACCAAAATCCATATTATGTCTCATGTAACTGCTTAATCAGTGTTTCAACCACGAAAAGATGTCAATAAAACGGCTTGTAAATAATATCAAGTACCATTTACCTCAGAAAAGCCATTTAATTACCATAACTTGTTTGTTAGGTCGAAAAAATAACTCTAGAGAGAAGCGTTCTGCTAAATATATGCAGCATATTACATATTTTTAGTCTCATTTAATATAAGTTAGAAAAACCAAGTGGTGTAGAAACAAGAATATCACTAATAAGCTGACATAAAAACTACCTTATGTGCATTTTAAATGTTTGGATACAACTCTTTTTATTTGAGTTCTGACAATTACATCTAAAAACAAATAGCAAATGAATCTGGATTCCTATACAGTTTACAACGCTAATAGAGAGATTTGTTTCCTTGAGAAAAATTGACATGTTCTGTATCTGATATAAATCCAAGCGAATCGATTTTTGAATCAA